AAAAAAAAAAAAAGGTGGAGGAAGGTCTGAGGGAGTTACCGCCATTTGGAACACTCTGCCTTCTGAAGATTGCTTTTTCAGTGCTAAGGATGGGACCCGGGGCGTCCTGCCAACTGAGCTACACTTCCAACCCCAAGACTTTTTTAGATTTTTGGATTGAGGTATAAAACCAAAACAATCCCCCTCCAAAAAGCATAAATCCTATGTGGGATTCAGTGAACGCTCACTCTGCATCATCGGTGTCCTAGAAGCCCCCCACCTTCACATCGACTTTTCTGGCAGACTTTAGCTGAATGTGACACCAGGTGTGCCAAAGATGAATTGGTGGGTCCGGTCGGGGACAGATGGAGACTTGCTCAGAGGCTGATGCAGGTTCTCAGGGCTCCAGATAATGAAGGACAGAGAGAGAAGACAGACGCAAAAGATAGCTGGGGACCAAGTTGGCAGGGCAGGGCCTCCATGGGTTGGGGGACTGGGGGAGAGGAACACCCAGCTGCCTCCCAGTCACCCTGATAGGCACTACAGGAGGAAGTGCCCTGGAGGCTGGTTTTGTTGGGATCTGTTGAGAGCGAGGTACTTGATGCCCCTCCCAGAAGGTCTCCCCCTTGCCCACAACCCTCCACCCTGGCATAGTTGGGGAGAGCTGGAGAGGGTGAAAAGCTATCTGGACGCAGACACGGAGTTTTCAACACCCCATTCATGGGGCCTCGTACAGCCCCCAGTGGAATAATCAGCTTTTGTCCTCCCTCTGCCTGGACTGGGGACAGCTGGGAGATGGGAGCTGAGAACCTTGAGGAGGGGGAGAACCACAGGCCACTCTCTGCTGGGGCACACATAGTTTTCTGGACCTTCTCTTGCCTCCCAAGGCCACTCACTTCTCAGGCTGCTGGGACACTCACTGCCCACCCCCAAGCCATATCAATCTCCAGCCTGGGAGTGTGGGGACAGATAGATTCCAGAGAACCTGCCAGGATTCCTCAGGTGCCCCTGCTCCCTCCCCTGCAAAGGAGAAAGACCCTGCTCCTGATCTCCATGGACTTCTAATCCCAGCTGACCCTAGCACTGTCCAAGTGTCTGGTGAAGCCTGCCTCACCCCCACTTCCAGTCAGCTCCTCTGTCCTGCTCATGTCCTGGAAATGTCCGTCAAGATAAGGATTCACCTTCTTCCTTTCCACCTTCCACAGATGCACCTGAATCCTTGGTTGTCACTTTACAGGGCAGGCAACAGCACAACACAGTATTTAGAAGCTGCTAAGCCTCCCTGTTCTCATCTGTAAAATGGGGTTAGTAACACACTTACAGTTGTTGGTAGATGAAGGGAACTAACATTTGTAAAAGGTTTGGCCCACAGTGAGTATCGTAGCTATTATTTTTCTTATTGTAACCCCATCCAGACTATGAATCCTCAGTGGCAGGAGCCAGATCTTATTTAACGGGCAGCAACTGGCACAGGATACTCAGGAAATGTTTGTTGAATGACTGGGTGAAGTTATGGGTGCAGAATCATAGATTGAAGCCATCAGAAGGGGTCCAGGAGATTATCAAGGACCATTTCCCATCTGACCAGTGGATAACTTTTGTCACACACACAGACACATACAGACATACACTCGCAAAAGTGAAGGATCCATACCTGGGGGAATGTTCTGGGCTCTTTCTGTCCCTTCTTCTACAGTCAATCCAAGCTGGAATCACTCTCTCTGCCCTCGGATGTTTGGGAGGGGGAAGGATCCCCCCAGTGCAAACCAACTCAGAGCTTTCTTCTTTTCTTTCCAAAGATGGAAGGTGAACAGAGGCAAAGTCCCTGTCCATGGAGCTGGCTGGTGGCCCCAGCCTGTCCCCACCTGACCTTAAGGGCAGAGCAAGGCAAAGGAAAAGTGGAGGTGGCTTGCACTGCCTGGAGCAGCCCCAGAGGAAGGGCACCAGAGAGAGGAGGAGCCACTGGGGTTGGGTGGGGGCCCTTGGACTCTCAGGGCCAGGCAACCCCTCCTCTCCCTCCCCCTACCGGGGCTCCGGTTTCTGAAAGGCCTGCGCAGGGCTCCACCCCTTTGCAGAGCAGCCAAGCATCCCTGATTTCTGAAAGCCCTGACCCAACCCGGGAGTCCCCTGGACCATGTCCTGACCAGCACCTCCGTGGGGGTCTGGAAACATGGCCCCAGGAGCCTGGGTGCATGGGGTGGGCATCCCTGTCTCAGATGTTGCCAATTCCGTCTTCCTGTTTGGTACCTGGAGTTCTGGTACCTTTTGGGGTTTTGTAGTTATAAAAGTCAGGAGGTGACCTATAGTTGCAATCCAAGGCTGGGCTGGGATTCTGCACATGCCCACTGGAACCACAAACTCTCAGAGCTGGAGAGCCCCTGAGAGCCCTCAAAGGGTGGTTCCCAAACCCAGCTGTATCCTGTCACCCCTTAAGTGAGTTTAAAATACAAGCATTCCTCTCAGGTGGTTGGTTTCTAAGATATCCAAGATCCAAAATCTGCAGATGATCTAAGACTCTTATATAAAATGGCACAGTAAGTGCATATAACCTATGCACAACCACATGTGCCTGTGATTTTATTATTATTTTTTACAGTGGCTGGGATGAAATCTCAGGGCCCTGTGCATATAAGGCAAGTGCTCTACCACTGAGCCACACCCCCAGCCTTTCCTGTGTATTTTCAATCCCCCATCTGAATTCTAGGACAGACCTCATGGATACAGAGGGTGACTAAATGCAGATTCTTGCCCCCACCACTTAATGCCCAGAGATTCTCATCTATCAGTTCAAGGGCAGGAGCCTCTCAAAATTAAACACACACACATACATACATACATTTTTGGTTTGGGGAATGGAACTCAGGGCCTTGGACATGCTAGGCATTGTCCTGAGCTACACCCCAAACCCCAAAAGTATGTCCCTGAAAAACTTTTTTTTTTTTAGATACTGGGGATTGAACTCAAGGGAACTCAACCACTGAGCTACATCTCCAGCCCTATTTTGTATTTTAGAGACAGGGTCTCATTGAGTTGCTTTGAGTTGCTTAGTATCTCACCTTTTTTTTTTTTTTTAAGAGAGAGTGAGAGAGGAGAGAGAGAGAATTTTTAATATTTATTTTTTTTAGTTCTCGGCGGACACAACATCTTTGTTGGTATGTGGTGCTGAGGATCGAACCCGGGCCACACGCATGCCAGGCGAGCGTGCTACCGCTTGAGCCACATCCCCAGCCCAGTGTCTCACCTTTGCTGAGGCTGGCTTTGAACTCTGAAAAACTTCCAAGGATCAAACAGGTCTCTCTGCCATCTTCAGCAGATCTTTCTCATATGGATTTTTATTTATTTATTTATTTATGGTGCTGGGGATTGAACCCAGGACCTTGTGCATGCGAGGCAAGAACTCTACCAACTGAGCTGTGTCTCCAGTCCTCCAACTAGATTCTTAACACTTAGCTTCTAGCATTTCTGGTATGTTCAAAAAGCAAATAATGGGCTAGGGATGTGGCTCAAGTGGTAGCGTGCTCGCCTGGCATGCATGCGGCCCGGGTTCCATCCTCAGCACCACATACAAACAAAGATGTTGTGTCCGCCAAAAACTAAAAATTAAGTATTTTTAAAAAAGCAAATAATGAGGGCTGGGGATATAGCTCAGTTGGTAGAGTACTTGTCTCGCATGCACAAGGCCCTGGGGTCAATCCCCAGCACCACAATAATTAAATAAGGGCTGAGGATATAGCTCAGTGGTCTAGTACCACTGGGTTCAATCCCCAGTATTACAAAAACACAAGCAAATTTAAAAAACAGCGGCAACAACAATAAATCCACTTAAATACCACTAGTATGAGCAAGGCCATAGATTTGATCACCAGCACCAGAAAAAGAGAAAAAAAAATTAAATGCCACCAATTTTGTATTCTTCCTCTCTGAGAGCTCAACCCAGGCCCAGTGATAGGCCATCTATAAATGCTGCACCTGCCGGTACTTCACCATCTCCTGCTAGGATTTTTCAGTAGATTCCTGACTCTTATTTCAGTTACTGGGCAGCATAAGATCCCACCCAGGAGCAAGATGTGGTGGCCCATGCTTGTAATCTCAGCAAATTGGGAGGCTGAGGTAGGAGGATCCTGAGTTCAAAGCTAGCCTCAGCAAAAGCAAGGTGCTAAGCAACTCAGTGAGACCCTGCCTCTAAATAAAATACAAAATAGGGCTGAGGATGTAGCTCAGTGGTCAAGTGTCCCTGAGTTCTATCTCCAGTACCAAAATAAATAAATAATGAAAAGGGTAATTTAGCATTGAGCTATACTCCCTGTCCTTTTTTATTTATTTATTTTTGGTATTGGAGATTGAACCCAGGGGGGCTTAACCACTGAGCCCAGGCCATTTATTTATTTATTTAGAGTTTTATTTAGAGTTGCTTAAGGCCTTACCAAATAGCTGAGGCTGGTTTTGAACTCCTGCCTCAGCCTCCCAAACTGCTGGGATTACAGGCGTATGCCATCACACCTGGATTTTTTTTTTTTTTTTTTTGACACAGGGGTCTTGCTAAATTGCCAAGGCTGGCCTCAAACTTGAGATCCTCCTGCCTCGGCCTCTTGAGCTGCTGAGATTACAGGTGTACACCCCTGAACCAGACTAGGAAAATAGGTCCTATTCAAAGCCGGCCTTGAAGGAAGGCAAAGGAGATGTCACTGTTTCAAAAGTTCCATCTGCAAAAAGCTCTGGGATGAGGACAGGTGTATTTACTTAGGTACTGGGGATTGAACCCAGAGGTACTTTACCACTGAGCTACATCCCAGCCCTACTTATTATTTATTTAATTAATTGAAGCATTGCCTTGCTATGTTGCTGACGTTGGTGTCACAGAAGGCCTTCTTTAGAACTTGGAACACAAGAGAGAAAGAGAGAGAGAGAGAGAGAGAGAGAGAGAGAGAGAGCGAGCGCATGCAAGCACCCAGTGCAATGGTCCACATCCGTTTGGGCCAGTGGTTTGGGAGGCTAAGGCAGAAGGACTTTGAGTTCAAAGCCAGCTTCAACAATTTAGGCCCTAATTAATTTACTGAGACCTTGTCTTAAATTAAAAAATAAAAAAGAGCCCAGCACAGTGATGCACGCCTGTAATCCCAGCAGCAGGAAGATCATGAGCTCAAAGCCAGCCTCAGCAACAGTGAGGCACTAAGCAACTCAGTGAGACCCTGTGTCTAAGTAAAATACGAAATAGAGCTGGGATGTGATTGAGTTAGGATTAGGGTTACCCTTACCCTCAGTGGTCTAGTCCCCCTGAGTTCAATCCCTGGTACCAAAAATAAATAAATAAATGAAATAAAAAAGTATTGAGGCTCTGGCTCAGTGGTTAAGTGCCCTTGGGTTCAATCCCCAGTATGGGGTGGGGGACACACACAAAAGAGAGGATGTTAGAGATGGAGGAATAGATTGGAGAAAGGTTGGGAGGGGATAGCAGCCTCCCTGTCTTCCACTTTCAGCCTGAGGAAGCCGTTCTCATGGGGGCAGGATGCCTTCAGTCTGTTTGTTCTCTGGTCCCTCTTCCCAGCAGATTCTGCACCTGCCTCAGTCCCCACCTTGGTCCTCCCCTCTTTTTGACTCTTTCAGGGTTCTGCCCCGCCCACCTCCCCAACCTCCTAGGCTCACCCCAAGGGAACAGAGTCTTCAGCCACTCTGGGCTCCTGACCACTTCCCAGGCCTACCCAGTGTCCTCCATCTCTGCTCACACAGCTGCCCCTGCCTAAGCAGCCCTCCCTTCCTCCTACCCATTAAATGGATCAATTGAACAGAGTTTTCTCTCAGATGTTTTCCATTGAAGAACTTGCCCCTGGATATTTGTACGGAAACATACCAAAACCAAACTTCAGCACAAGGCCTTGGGTTTGATCCCCAGTGCTACAAACAAACAAACAAACAAAAAACTGGGCATGGTGGTGCACACCTGTAATCCCAGCAGCTTGGGAGGCTGAGGCAGGAGGATGGCAAGTTTGAGGCCAGTGTCAGCAATTTAGCAAGACCCTGTTTTAAGATTTTAAAAAAAATAAGATAAGGGCTGGGGATGTGGCTCAAGCGGTAGCGCGCTCGCCTGGCATGTGTGCGGCCCGGGTTCGATCCTCAGCACCACATACAAACAAAGATGTTGTG